AACCAGACCAGTTGTGGCATTGACAGATTTGGGCCAGATAAACCAAACTAAAACCGGGCCAATTGTGGCATTGACAGATTTGGGCCACATAAAACAAACTAAAACCGGGCCAGTTGTGGCACTGACAGATTTAGGCCACATAAACCAACTAAAACTGGGCCAGTTGTGGCATTGACAGATTTGGGCCACATAAATCAAACCACAACCAGGCCAGTTGTGGCATTGACAGATTTGGGCCACATTAACCAAACTAAAACCAGGCCAGTTGTGGCATTGACAGATTTGGGCCACATAAACCAAGCTAAAACTGGGCCAGTTGTGGCATTGACAGATTTGGGCCACATAAACCAAACTAAAACTGGGCCAGTTGAGGCACTGACAGATCTGGGCCACATAAACCAAACCAGAATAACAATCGGATGACAAACTACTTGCCATGCCACACACCTGACTGCTATGTGGGTKCTTCAGTACTCACCTTGTTTCTCCTGGATAAGAACTTGACAGGAACTCTCAATCAGTTCCTTGCTCCCCTTCCCATCTGCCTTGAAGTAACGAAGAGCCCCCTGTCCATCTAAAACCAAAGTGTTGATTGTCAGATTGGCTAGAGCAGATGTGAGGCCCCTGTGGGACTCTTGTACGTCARGACGAGGGCCAGACACAGCTACAAAAGGATGTGGGTGAAGAAAAGCTTTTAAAGTCACATTTTTCTGATTCACGCTAATCATTTCTAAGATCTTGTCCCAACAGTTAACAAGTTCAGGGTGCGGTAGGTTCAGGACTTGCTCAGCTGAAACCTGGTTCAGCAGGTAGTCACGAAGAACTTCTCTGAGGTTGTCGACGTGRTCCGTGTAGCCCACCAGKCGTATTTTAGCCACCGTGTTTGCCTTTTGTCCGGGGATAAAGTTGACGTTCACTTTGATCTCTTCACGGTTGGCTTCATTTGTGGCTTTGGTGAGGACGTTTTTTATTCTGTCTATATCTGGAGGTACAGCTGGTGCGCCTTGCAGCTTCTCAATTTCCACACTCAGGTCGCTCACTATGACTGCCAAAGCCTCATCCAGGTCATGAGAGCACAAACTGGACAGTACCAAGTCTGAYTCGATCTCTATGAATACAGGGTTTCTGAGGCTCTGCTGGAAGAGTGTTTCAAACCTGAAGATGGCGCTGCTGGATTTAATAAAAGTTAATAAATCCTGAGGCAGCTTAACCCTCTTCTCAATCACATTGTTTTTCAGATCAACCAGTTTAGCAGCTCCTAATCGAACGTTATGAATTCTCCTCATTTGAGACAAATCCTCCTTCACAAGTTTAAATGGCTTCACCACATGATGCAATTCCACCTAAAAATTTAAAAAGTATAATTTAAAGATGGCTAACTTTTGTACAACCTAATCAGAACAGGTTTTACTCTTTTTAAATATACCAAGGTGACTCACCTGCTGTTGACTGGTGGATGGCTGAGCTGGCATACTAAAGTTGTGACATGAAGTTGCTCTTTGGTCAAAACGGTGATACATCCTCAGTTTCTTTTTCTGCAAAAAACAAACCAAAGGTGAACAAATGTTTTACTCTAAACACCTCAAAGAAACAGATGTTTTGAGCAGGTCATACTTTATCTTTCATAGCTCTTTAAAATTTTTTAATTTAAAGAAAATAAAGATTAAATCTGACCAGACTGATAAGCTAATGACTTGTCAAAYTGGTGCCATCTTACAGTAAAACAACTCCAATCTCAACATTGTTGCATCCGGGCCGCAACAACTCCCCGGATCCTTTATTTCAGGTGAGGGAGAACTTTCCATTTTACCCAAAAAGTCATTGTTAAATAAAGGCGCTACCAACTGAATAAAGTGAAAATGTTTATCTTAGAATAGTAAAAGTACAAGTTCAGCACTGAGTCCTCCAATAGTCCTAGTGGTAATGGTGAAGGAAGACCCTGAATAATTTGCGTGCAAGCAAATTAAGAAAAACAACTCCAAATTAAGACAAAAGCTTCAGACATCTAATAGCTTTGGTGTAAGAACATTCTTTACAGAAGGTTAACTTCTGCAAAGAGCAAACTGAAAATGAATGTGACTTCCTACATGTCAGCTTAAGAGCAGAAGGCCAGTTTGAATTAAGCCCTTATCTATTATATTTAATGCCTCTTATTTTGGAGCAGATCTAAAAATGTCTTCTTTGTGGTTAATGTGAATGCTTTTTACGAACCTTTACTTTGCAGTCAGTTATATTTAGATGTTTAACACAATGTATACACTCAAAAACAGATGTGTTGGATTGACTTTATCAAATTGTGTCAACTGCTTTCACTCAACTGAAGTGAGTAAATGTAATGCATTTACCACATAATACTATCAGGTTTAAAAGACAAGGCTGCACTCAGAATGCAGGCGGGCTCAAAGAAATAATAAAAAGTCTTTATTAAATCAAAGGTCGATGTGGTGGCAATAAACTGAAAACCAACAGGCACAGGAGAACACAGGGAAACCAGGGCAGATAACCTGAGGAAGCGGTGGAAAAGTGAAATAGAGGCAGGGCTGAGTGAAACGTGGAAACAGCAGAGTGAAAACAGGTGTGAGGGAATGATCAGGCAGGGACTGAGGAATGAGATGGGTATGTAAAATACAGAACGAACACCAGAGGGAGGGAGAGTGTAATGGAAAAACAACTTTTCTTCCCTTTCACACGCTCCATTGACCTGTGATGCTGATCCAAACATCACCCAGTCTGCGTGATGCCATTGTTTTGTGTTATTTATCTTCCGCCCTCTCTTAGATAATGTGTTTTACCATCAGGATAAGGAATGGGGTAGATAGTCACATCTACGGGGATAATTTGTCAGAACGTTCTCTTTTGTCAGTTTATGTAAARATACGAATATCAAGTACAAAAGGGAGCTTRAAACTTTGATTCTTTGCACAACTAGTTTGACGCAGGACTGTTTTCAGAACGGTGTTAAGCTTTTGTGCCTTGCAGCTGCATTAAAACTCCATTCTACGAAGTGCCTTTTTCATTTTATGATCACCTGTTTCTCTCCTTGTTAAATTAAGATTTCCCCAACAAGAGTACAAGACACAACAGATCCTCACAAATACAAATTTTTCTTTAGTTTGTGTTATTACTGTTTTTTGACCATGTTAACTTGCTGGTTTTGCTGACAAACGTATTCTCATTCAAATGTTGTCTGAGGTATTAGCGTCGTGAAAGTAGCTTAGTTTAAATTCATAACTTACCGAGTTGGGTTTCTTGCACACGTTTATAAAATCTGTGCTTTTTTGAAGTGGATTTATGATCCTCTTGATGCCAGGGYACAAAGGTTGTTAGTATTTGTTGACTTTCTAAGAGAACTTTTAACAAACGCGTCACTACTTCTTGGGCTCTTGAACACTGAACCCACAGAGAGTTTCTGTTAAGTTTCACTTTCATTTATCAGCTGATCTCTTCATGACATAACTCTAATTATAGACTGGCACTCCCAGAGGCACAAACAGCTCAACTTTATTAAGGAGAGACTGTTTTTTTATTTCACAGATCATTCTGAGCAGAAAAAAARCAACATGCATAAACATGTTTTCATACAGGGCTGGCCTGTGTCATAGGCAGTATATGCAAATGCTAAGGGCGTCATCCAACTAGGGGACGCCACAAACAGGGAAAAAATATATATATTATAAATTTTTATCAGAGTTGACTTATGGTGCGTTCACACCGAACGCGATTTCAGCTTCAAAATCGCAGCCAACGCTGAAGTTTGAAGCTTGTGCACTTTGAGGTCAGACGCAGGACAGGTCTTGAAGCGCTGTACTGCGACAGCCTCCCTGCCCCTCCCTCCTCTGTCGGGCTCTGTTTTTATGTCGGACGAGGAAGTGGCTTTGCTTTATTTACAGAGAGCAAGAG